AATTTGACATTCTGCCAACGAAATTGTTTGGAGTTTTTGGAATCCGAATTCGCTTATCAAGATGTAGCTGTACGCCGGGCGCAGAAATTCCCAGCTCATCCATGTTTTCACTTTTTCATTTCGACCCAACTCCTCCCTCCCCCCTCCCCTCCTCCCCTCCTCCTCCTCTTTCTCTCTTGGCTTTTCCCTTGCCTTCGCAATTTTATGAATTTATTATATTTTGCAGATATCAGATGCACCAAAAATTTCTGCAAAACGCAGAAGTGCCTGCGTACTCAAATAATGGAACTTCAAAACTTCGAGATTGCGGGAGCTGAAATTTGAGCATCAACTTCTGTTCATTTTTGGAAAACAGAACTGAAATCAACTTTAACTGCATTCTGGGACCGTTAAAATGCAGTTAAAGTTGATTTCAGTTCCATACTTATTTTATACACTCAGAAGTGAAAAAGTCTCTGAACAAATGTAGGATTCTCAGAAGTTAGCTGAATACAGAATAACCATCAACCGCGTTAAGCTGGGAACAGTTTGAAGGATCAGTAAATATGTAAATTCCAAAGTCATCGAATTCTCTGCACCTAGATCTTTGTTGATCTTAGCATTATGCTAATTTCTAGTCAATTAGGCGTCAGGATTTAAAAGGAATGGATCCAAATGCTTTGAAACCTTAATTTCTTGGTCATCAGAGGGACCTTCGATGGCTTCTGCTTCGGCCAAATAACGCTTGTACAGACTGTCCTTGGCACCAATATCAATAGCACGTTTAGCAACCAAACCATCGAGTGTGTTAGCTGGATTTACGACTTCACCACGGCGCCGCCTTCTTGTACGTTGATCTCGATATGCAGTTTCCTGCAAACCAAGGAACTATATGTACTGTTTTATAACATGTTTTAGTCGAATATGTTCGGAAAAATGTCATTTCTTGTAATAATTTAAAGCCAAAAATCAGAAGGAGCACAAACTTACCGCACTGAATGAGTCAGAAGTTGTTGGAACAGATGATGCAACTTTAGTCATATACTTCCGATGATGTAACATGTCCTGGAAAAGTTCGGGATTTAAAAAAAAAAGCCCAAGGATAACATTAGCCGATCGGTCCGAATCAGGATTCATGCGCAGAAAATTATTTTCGAATAGACATGGATTCGAATGGTTGTAGTTGGGAATAAGAAACAGCAGATCAAACGAAAGGGATACTAAATGGTGCCCATGCAATGATTAAAAAAAACAAAGAAAAAGTCGCCAGTGCAAGTAAAATGATGCTCAACACACATCAGTAACATCTTGAAATGACTAAAACTTCTGACAGAAAAATCGTTGAATTTTTTCAGAGACAAAACAAACTTTGGGATTATTAGCAAGTTGACCATCAACGGATGCAGCATCGGTCATCCCAGTTAGAAAAGTAGTCAGCTGTAGGTTAATGAACTAATCTATGAAATGCAGCTGAATAAAGTATTAATGTTTTTTAATTTTAGCTCTTATAAAACTAGAAGAATTTCCAAAAAATTCACAAACCTGATTCCAAAAAGTCATCATTTTCTGAATTTCATAATCTACAGTTTTTTCCGCAGTACTATAGCCAAGATATATATGCCCACTTTTTCCAAGACCGGGGTGGCACTTGGTCTTGGGCCGCGCTGGATAACTTTAGCCCGAAGCTTGCTTGGTTGCTGAGTTGAAGCACCCGGACAGACGCACACATTGGGTCGTCACAATATGCGGTTTTGCACTTGCATATATGCAAAAACTCAAAACAATGAGTTGCAGCTAATTCAGACATTTTACATTCAAAAATCTTAA